GTCATCTTTATCAGTAGTCGAAATCTGGCGGTCAGTTGAGTGAGGTCACTTGAGGATGCTATACTCTATGTTGTTCAGCAGTTCTGTGTCGTTCGTCTTCATAGGAAATCTAAAAAAACTGCTCACTGCTGTTTCATTTTCTTTGCATTCGAGATTGTCCAAATACTTCAAGGGAAGGGGATGCCGATATGTGCTGTTTGTTGACCCACGAAATAATATGGGGGGGGGGCAATCAGCATTCATCTGCCTGAAGCAGTTCGAAATATTTTTTCTTTTTCATTGTTACTTCTGTTTACTAAACAGATAAATACAGTTTGCAGGAATGAGGAACTGGTCAATTAAAGGGCCGCCATACAACCCATGATGGAGAAAGTCAGGTAGCGGTGGTGGTGGTGGTGGTGGTGTTATCACCGGGTCATCACCGGTAACTATTGACGTACTAAACGTTTGAATTTTTTCCTGAACAGCCAAATTTATAAAGCTGAAAGGCTAGATTTCGCTATGCGATTCACCGCGCTCTGGTGTCCATTTGATTGTTTCATCCGCTCCCACCCGCCTGTTGGAACTCACACGTCTTGAGTGTCTAATAGTCTGTTTACTCGGTCTAACTGCCGATATGTTTCGTGTATAGTACCTGAACAACCTAGCAGAATTCCGCCCAAAAACAAATCATGGAACTCTCTTCTTTTATAAAAGAAAATGAAAATGTTATATGTACAGTTCTTCTCTTGTTCGTTAATCATGATTTATCAGCTATCCCAGATTGGCTGCACACCGCATATTTTATTATACCTCGACTAGTAGATTATATAGAATCCGTTTCTTATTTTCAGTCGTCTTTGATGGATTATTTCAACTGTTCCTTACATTGCACACTCCTTTCGTTTTCATTCCCGCCATGAAGTCAACGGAGACGATGATGCCCTGTCTAGCGCGTTATCTGCTGTTGAAGCAAAACTCTTACCCGGTCTCTCATCTACCCCGTTACAAGAGCTGGTCCTAATCGGTGCACCCGATATCCCCACCGAAACCGATGAATCTAAATTGACCAACAGTGACATGTGGATATCAAATGTAGATCAACCGAGTAACGCACAACGATTCTGTCAGCATCTGGCCACTTTATTTCGCTCACGATTTGGCCCGCTGACTCGAATACGCCGAGCGTCCCGAGGGGATGGAATATGTTACGGCATTGTTTAGAGCCTGTACAGTTAACCGATATGAGACACATTCTTTCCGTGATACAGCAGTACTGATTTTTGTGGTCTATGTTTCGTGTAATTTCAATTGTGTTTCGTCACAGGTATTTTTTCTACACTTGATGCACAAGTCATCTTTTTCTAGTCCGTACATTGATCCGCATATACTCGTCATGTTCTGTTTGATTTCTATTCGGGTTTCCCTGTATAGTC